GTGCTCTGCACTAATTGTTCCGGCTAACGGAAATATCACTGTTAATGTTTTAACTTAAAACATATACAGTACAGTGATATCTCCGTTACTTAAAACTTTTAAGTAATGTTATTTAATGTTAATAAATGGAACAATAGAAGTAGCTAACCACTAATGGCAAAAAAAAAAATCGAGATGGATTGGAAACACCAAAGTATACGTGCGCACTAAAGGAAACATAGCGTCATTTATCTTAAGAATATGTACAAAAGAGTCATGATTGTTTATTACTGAATATGTATTTGATTTAATTAATCTTTATACTGTATATGCGAAATGAACAATACAATTCATTAATACTACGTAGAATATCAAAACACACAAGAGGAGACGAGACGGCATTGTTGTTGTCAGTGTTTACACCCAAAATGTCAGTTATCTACCTGAAACTGAAGAAAATAAGATCCTGGTTGTTGTTGTAGTAAAATTTATGTAAAAAACATGTATGTTTTAATTAATGTACAGGAAAAGTAACCACTGAGGTTAAAGAAAAAAAGTGAGACATAGTGGAACGCCAACATATACGAGTGCACTCAAGGAAACATAGTGTTATGTATCTTAAGAATATGTACAAAAGATTCATTATTGTTTATTACTGAATATGTATTTGATTGAATTTATGTTTATGTATACAAAATGAACAATACAATTCATGAAAAAATACGCGATAGCATTGATTTCGTTAGTGTTTACACCAGTGTCGATGGTTCAACATAAGAAATTGAAGAAAATAAGACCCTGGTTGTAGCTGTAGCAAAATTAATTTAAGAAATTAATATACAGTAAAACCTCGATTAACTGCCCACATATGGGGGGAAGGGGCCGACGGATAATCCAAAAGGTCGGTTAATAATAAATAAAGTCTACGGAAATAAAACATACCTTTTTAAAGTACCTATCCCTAACCTCCCTCATTTAAGTCCCTCTATTCATTTTTGTTCATTTGCCATTTATATTTCAATAGCATTTGCTTTAAAACATTAACCACTTTATTTAATAAATATGAACCAGCACAGAAACCGTGAATAATCACAGAAGTCAAAGAACATAATACATTAATAACAAAATTTTTATTAGTGAAGTACTGTATGGCACCTAAGCAGTATCCAAAAACCTGAGAAAAGAATAGAATAGTGTTTATAGTGCCATAATCCTTCCATGAATGCATGTACAGTAGAGCCACTGTGTTGTAGTTTTATGTCCCGGGATCGGCGGTTAATCCGAAAGTGGGTTAATCCGAAAGTCGGTTGATAGAGGTTTTACTGAACTGTATATGTTTTAAGTAATATACTGTACAGGTATATGTTTTAAGTAATGTTATTTAATGTTAATAAATGGAACAATAAAAGTAGCTAACCACTAAAGGAAAAGAAAAAACCGAGACGGATTGGGAACGCCAACATATGTAATTGCGTAAATGTGAAAACATAACATCATTTCTCTACATAAGAATATGAAAGCAAAACTTATCACTGTTCATATGATTTAAATAATACATATACTACACTTACGAAAGTACTGTAAAACAAAAATTCTACTCACCAATGGTGGTAAAGTCTAAAACATAAGGAAAGTCACTGAATGTTGTTTGAGTTTTTACTCAGATGACGAAGTCATCAGGTTCAACTCTGGCTGAAGCTGTAGGTTTCCATAAAGATATCACAGCTGTTGCTGAAACTGTTACGGAACCTGAAGTTGTTGCTGAAGCTGCTTATGATGCTGAATTTGATGGTGTATAGTTGAAGTTGATGGTTTTGGCCTTTGAATAATAAAGCTGTTGAAAGAACCTTGCACAGCTGCATTCTTTTCTCATTAAACATCTTTAAGTAGAGGTCATATGCATTTTTCACGTCCCTGTTAATTTTAATGCTTCATTCTGTTAATGGATCCACTTCAGAAAATATGTTCATTGCTTACTCCATTAATATCCACAGACCTCTCACCTTTTTCATATCGTTTTAACACATCTAGTTTCTCGGCTAAGCTTATACTCTTTCTTTCAGCTTTTGAACCAGCACTACCATCACTTCCTCATGTTGAATAGGGACGCAAAAATGCCGTAAGCAACCCAGAAACCCGAGAAAGTTTTTCTCCTTTTCCTGTTCAGATGTGTGAAAACAAAAGGGCCGCCAGCTGCAACTGTTTATACTAGTGATACTGGCGTCACCACTCACAAGCCTGGCAGCCTCCGTGCGCAGGGAGTGGTTTTTTTTTATAATACACATAGGGATTTGGTTATTATTTATATGAAAATGTAATTTTATTTTATTTTTTATTCTACTTTTGTCATAAATACGGAGAAAATAATGGTGTAAATTGAATTGGGTCCCAAATTAAACAGGGTCTTAAATATGAAACGTCGTTAAGAGAACCATCGTTATCGGAGGCTTTCCTGTATACTGTATAAAATAATTGTCATTTCCCCGTAAACTTGAAAAAATATGGCAATATAAGACCACTTCTCCCCATTTCCCTGATTGCTATCAACCACCATTATTGGCACTATCTATTCTATAGTCATTCAATTTACAGACAGATCCATTAAATTCATCACTCTTTCAGTGGAAGTTCTGCATATGATTTTACTTCACTTAATCCAAAACAGGATGCATCAGCATTGGTGAAACCACTGGATGGCAGGTAAGGTACTACACTATGGGCAGGGAAATAATGGATAATGTATTAATGAAATGTAGTGCTGAACAGTACTGTACAGTACAATATATACTCATGGTAGTCACCTTCTGGAAAACCACTGTTTTCTGTCCCCAACTTTTTCCTTTGGTCATAATCACATTAGTTAACTTTATCCAGCAGTCTGACATAGATTCCCTTTCTTCTTACTTTTCAAAGACTGCCATTTCCTTCACTTCTCCATCTTTCTACTTTGTTATACAGGTGCAGTACAGGGTACTTTTGGATCACCTAAAGAATCTCCACCCCAGCTTATTTTATTTAAATATAAACCACCTTAACACTAACCAAACCTTACCTCATCCCTCCAAATAGTGTTAGGGTGGCTACTCTTTAGGTGAAATAAGCTGGGGTGGAGATTCTTCAGGTGATCAATTCATTTCTTTCACATCCTGCTGTATTATTTCTCCTTTCTCACATTCATACAAATTTAAAATGATCTTCATCTTGTACACACACCATTTCTTTTCAAAGACTTCATCAAAAAATTTAAGCATATGAGGATGCTAACAACTTCTTAAACTTTAACAATCTTGGCATTTTGGGGCTATTAAGATGTCTGACATCCCTGCTGGCAAGTGCACCATCTATTAGCCTCAAAATTTCCTTTTTACAATGAATGTTTCACTAAACAGAGATTCCAAGAGCAGTATGATGCAAGTTCTGAACACAATCATGAAAGATCCACTGACATTAGATGAAAGACACTAGATGTTTTGCAATGAAACAGCTAATAGATGATAAAATGCTATTTTGCCATAAAATGATCATAAACCAAAGTTAACCAAACAGTCTTTGAACAGTTTTTTTGTTGGTATGTTTGATTCACATTGTATTAAACATAATTTCATGGCAAAGCAATTTGTATTGATAGCTGGCATATGTCCCAACAGGATGAAGAAACTGCACTATTTGAAACAATGTGAGAAGTTCTCGGGCCATTGCGAGAAGAAGGTAAATCAGGCAAATAAATTATTGGGTCTTATAAGAAGGTCGTTCAGATATCTAGACGGTCCGTCCCTCGTAACGATCTTCAAGAGTGAAGTGCTTCCCCATCTGGAGTACTGTCACCCCATCTGGTCCCCGAGATATGCTAGGGACTGTCAGTTGGTTGAAAATGTTCAAAGGAGGGCCACCAGACTGGTGCCTGCACTTCAGCACCTCAACTACCCTGAGAGATTGGAGCGCCTGAACTTGCCTAGCTTATACTACAGACGGGCAAGGGGGGACCTAATTGAGGTGGATAAGCATCTCAAGGGGCACTACTCAGTCGAGTGTCCTTACTTGGAGCTGGCAGACGCTCGCCCCACAAGGGGTCACAGCTCAAGATTGAAGAAGCCGCAAGTCCAAAAAACTGTAAGGGCAAACTTTTTCGGAGTGAGAGTTGTGAACTCTTAGAACAATCTGCCAGAAAGTGTTGTGATGGCACCGAGTGTGAGCTCTTTAAAAACCAGACTTGACCAACACTGGAGCAGGTTCAGGTACATTCAGGAGCCGGTGCATGCCCAGTACTTGCCAACAGTGTGTAACAGAGATGTGACCAATCGCCCAAGCAGCTAACGAGCCAATCAGTGGTGAAGAGGATAAAGGTAAAAAAAAAAAAGTAAAAAGATAAACAGTGTTAATAATGGTACAGTGCTAGCAGATGGCATATTCAAGGTTGAGAGAACAGTTACACATTAGTGGCAATCTAAATAAATATAAATTACTTTAAACATAATCATCATTCATCTTAAAAATGCAAAGCTTTACTAACTGTCAATTTGACTAAACTTGGGACTTTTATTAAGGGAATTTGTGCATACAAAGTGACACAAAGCATTGCTAAGCTTATATCAATTACAAAACTGCTAGCATAGCATATGGCAGGTTATATTATGTATATATAAATAGGTATAACAATGAATAATGATTTCATCAAATATAATCTACGTTACTACCACTGTGATCATGTGACAGATGTACCCATCAACAACAATGACTCAGGTGACTGCCTCCACATAACCCTCAAATACACGTATCTTATAAAATTTAAATTTACCCTCAAGCGTTATAGTCTTACGCAATTTCAACTAAATACAATCATATTATATTTTAGAAATTAATGTCAGTGGTAAACGTCAGTAGAATATCCTGTTGTCACGATACAGAGCGAGCAGGTTCAGAGGTGGGGGTGTCAAGTAGCATACTCAGTTTCTTCTTCTTTACACTTAACGCCAGGCACTCAATAGCTACTCCGTATACTTCAATGGATTATAAGTACAAACCTTGACTTGTAGGTGATGCTGGCCCTCCACAGGAAGCCTGCCCAAGCACATTTTGTCCGCCTCCGATGAGCGGTGTTCGCTCCTCTGCCATTGTAATGATCATATGAGCTCTGTTCCAATAATTTCACTTCACTTCTTCCTAAAATATAATTATAACATTTGTGTTCCAAACAACATCAGAATATAAAAAATAGATAAAATATCGTTGTTTCTCGCTTCAAATATTCTATTGTATAATGTAAAAAACAGCCAGTAGATTCACATATATTAATAGGAGTTTCTAACTGTACACAATTGATATCAGGAAGTCTTGCAAACAAATGTCTCCCGGGACCTTTAAAAATGACCCATGATACAGGTTTAAGCTGGATTCCATTCACGAGTTAGCGGTTGCGTTGGCATTAACGCCAAAAATAGATCACATTGAAATGTTCACGGCTGTTCCCATTGGCACGGTAGCGAAAGCGTTATGCTGTTGCAGTACAGTTTGACAGGATATTTACTTCTACTTTGAGCCTCTTCACCACTGATCGGCTCGTTAGCCGCTTAGGCGATCGGCCACGTCTCTGTTAAGCACTGTTGGAAAGTACTGGGCATGCACCGGCTCTTGAATGTACCTGAACCCGCTCCAGTGTTGGTCAAGTCTTATCTTGAAAGAGCTCACACTCGCTGCCGTCACAACACTTTCTGGTAGATTGTTCCAAGAGTTCACAACTCTAACTCCGAAAAAATTTGCCCTCACAGTTTTCTGGACTTGCGGCTTCTTCTGTCTTGAGCTGTGACCCTGTAGTGGATTCCTCCCCTACAACTGCCGTGTCCCTGACCAGCCGACCCCCGCGAATTCCCCAGCGTACGCCTCGTGGTCAAGGTCGGTAACCAGCGCCGCCGAACAAAGCGGAGGTCAACCATCAAGCCACGCCTACCCCCGCTATATAAGACCTCACGTGGCCGTCACCTATCTCCTTCTACCTACAGCCACCAGTAAGCAACACCTCCTCCTCCGCTCCCGCCTGGCGGCCCTCGCTCCCGCCGGCGACTATGCCGCCCTACAAGCTGCGTGTTCTCCTCTGAGCACCCTCACCAACCAGCTCTCTCTACATCACGCTTGGACTCACGCTGCCACCCCCTAGCACCAAGCTGCATTGTACATCCAATACAATATGTATACAGAGAGCACATTGTGAGTTTCCTTTCTCCATCCCATCCTGAGTGTGAACCAATATCTCATAACCACACAACCCCTTGTGGGGCAAGCGTCCGCCAGCTCCAAGTAAGGACACTCGACTGAGTAGTGCCCCTTGAGATGTTTGTTTGTTTCATAAATGACATGCCTGACGTTGTACACTCCTCCATACATATGTTTACCGATGACGCCAAGTTATTTCGGGAAATCAAGAACCAAGCAGACTGTGAAGAGCTGCAGAAGGACCTCTGTGGGCTCCAAGAATGGTCGAAGAAATGGCTGCTGAGATTCAATGTCACGAAGTGCAAGAGGATGCACCTAGGGCGTACCAACGGTAAGGAGGCGTATCATATTTCCCAACGGGATGAAGAAACTGCACTAGTTGAAACTGAATGTGAGAAGGACCTAGATGTGCATGTTGACAATGAGCTGAAGTTTTCGGGCCATTGTGAGAAGAAGGTAAATCAGGCAAATAAATTATTGCTTGGTTTCTGGCTCTTGCATACCTCCTCCTGTCTTGCTCATCGTTTGACCCAACCCACGTCTTGAATTTCTGGGTTTTCTTCTTAATTTTGTCGACCGCCGCATGGTTCATGTGTCGTGATCCCCTCGTATTCTTAGAAGCACTGGGTTAGGTCTTGGGTATATATTTATCGATCAAATGGGTCATTTTACTAGTTATGATATTCAGCGTAGTGTCTGCGTTCTTGTACCTTAATAAGTCAGGCCAGTTGATACCCCTCATCTCTTCCCTCATCCCATTGTAATTTCCCTTGTAATATTTGCACCTTGGCCTGGCCTTATCTTGAACTAGGTAACAGTTAAATCTAAATGACAACACTATATGGTGACCGGTAGCAACTGGGGCAAGGTGTTCCAGTTTGGCCACCATACCCTCCTCGTTTGTTATGATGAGGTCTAGTGGCTTGGGTGTTTGCTCCCTTCTGTAATGTGTCAGGTCTCTAACGTGTTGGAACAGAAAATTATCTCTCAGAGTTTATACAAAAAGAGTAGCAGGGTTATTCAAGTCACTTGGGGTGAACTCATTTCCCCAGTCGATGTCGCCATAGTTAAAGTCCCCCATGATAAGGAGGTGGCTGGGGTTGAACATCACCGCGTTGTCTGTTAAGGCTCTTAAGTTCCTTTGATTTAGTGGGCCACAGTTTGGGGATCTGTAGATACACCCGACAATAAGTAAGTCCCCTCCCTTTGGTTTAATTTTACACCACTTGGACTCTTCAAAAACATCATGTCCCTGTACTCTCGCCTGGCTGGCTCCAAGGTCTTGCCTAGCATAGATAATCACACCCCTCTTGCAAGTTCCTTGAGAAAGGTTCGTAAATGAGTCATATCCCGCAATACTGAAGTCACATTCCTCTGGGTCGATTCTCCTATTCTTGTACAACAGTTCGACGACTCCTAAAATATCTGGTTGGTGTACCTTCAGTAGTGTTTCAAACTCCTCTCTCTTATCAAGGAACGTGTCAGTATTAGCGTATATGACATTCAAGCCCGAATTTGTTCGCGGTAACATCTCTGCTCTTAGTAGTAACCCACCCCCCCCACCCCCATTCTCAGAAGCTGCAGCATTTGCTAAGTACACTGTATTTTGCAGGGTGTGGCTAGAAATGTCATTGTTCACAAGGCGCTCGCCTCCTCCCGGCCGATAGGCGGAGCTGGTGCCACCTTCCGAGCGGAGGGTAGAGCGGGTGGAGGGTGCGCTGCTGTCCCCTGGCACTGTATTTGTATGCTGATGGGTTGTTTTAAAGGTAGGGTTGAGGATGTGTTATGCTTAGTTGGTTAAGTGCTCTAGATTATATTGCTTGAGGTTCTCTTATATTTTTTATGCTATGTTTATTTGTGGTAATCCAATTCTGTTACTTGAAGCTTAATCATTCTTAATTTGTAATTCCTGTTTATTATAGATCTATGGATACTGATGTTGCATTAAGTTGAATAAAACCTCCCAGTATTTACCTTCGTTTTCATAACAGCTAGAGACTCAGTTGATAGGAAATATCCAAAGGAGGTCCACCAGATTGGTACCTGCGCTACGGCACCTCAGTTACCCAAATATTTTAAAACGCCTGAAAATGCCTTACTTATACTACAGGCGGGAAAGGGGTGACTTAATTGAAGTTTATTAGCATCTCAGAGGACACTACCTAGTCGTGTCCATACCCGGACCTAGTAGATACCCGGCCCACCAGTCAGGGCAAACTCTTGGAAAAATCTGACAGAGAGCATGGAGAAGGCGTCGAGTGTTAGCTCTTTCAAAACCAACATTGGCGCAGGTACAGATACATTCTGGAATTTCTGGAACCAGTACATGCTCAACCAACAGTGCCTAACAGACTTGACCGACCGGCCGACCTGACCACCCAAGTGGCTAACGAGCCGATCAGCGGTAAGTGGCGAAGAGGAAAAATTAAAGTAAAGAAGTATGCAGTGTCCCTCTGACACCCACTTTCACTTTTCATAGATTATTTGGAGGAATAAAACAAATTAATTATTGGGTCTTATAAGAAGGTCGTTCAGATATCTAGACGGTCCGTCCCTCGTAACGATCTTCAAGAGTGAAGTGCTTCCCCATCTGGAGTACTGTTACCCCATCTGGTCCCCGAGATATGCTAGGGACTGTCAGTTGGTTGAAAATGTTCAAAGGAGGGCCACCAGACTGGTGCCTGCACTTCGGCACCTCAACTACCCTGGGAGATTGGAGCGCCTGAACTTGCCTAGCTTATACTACAGACGGGAAAGGGGGGAACTAATTGAGGTGGATACTGGATAAGCATCTCAAGGGGCACTACTCAGTCGAGTGTCCTTACTTGGAGCTGGAGGACGCTCGCCCCACAAGGGGTCACAGCTCATGATTGAAGAAGCCGCAAGTCCAGAAAACTGTGAGGGCAAGCTTTTTCGGAGTGAGAGTTGTAAACTCTTGGAACAATCTACCAGAAAGTGTTGTGACGGCACCGAGTGTGAGCTCTTTCAAGACAAGACTTGACCAACACTGGAGCAGGTTCAGGTACATTCAGGAGCCAGTACATGCCCAGTACGAGCCGATCATTTGGTGAAAGGATAAAAGAAAAGGAAAAGTAACAGAGACGTGACCGATCGCCCAAGCGGCTAACGAGCCGATCAGTGGTGAAGAGGCTATAGCCACCTCTTCAAAGTTTGGTGCAATTAGTTCGTTTTTATGCCACCACACTCTTTCGTGCGCTGCACAAAAAGGTTCTTCGCATTTAAAAATACGGGTTTCGATATGAAGATATTCTTCAAGGGAAGATGTTGTTTAATAATATGGCCGTGAAAGTAAAAAAAAGTAATATCTCAGTGCTTCAACAACGTTCTTCATGCATCATACACAATTAAGAAGAGTATGCTAAGAGAGTTTCATCTCTAATAATCTTTTAACTGTTGTTTAAATAATTTAGTTACTAACTTTGTTATCTTCGTCGTTGAAGCACAGTAATTATATTATAACAACAATTTTGTATGCACTCTCCCTGATAAAGGTACCTACAGTGTGGCGCAGGCTCAAATAATAATTAATTTCATTATTATTTTCACTAGAAATTAGACTTTTACTTGGCCTAGAAATGAAATCGTTGTTTCAAAACACCTGAAAATTATGAAAATATTGCGTGACAATAACTACAAGTTCATGGATGGCGTTAATATTCTCTAATACAATCAAGTGCCTCTTGAGGGACTGTAGCGTTCGTTTGTACGTTGACGTGCTCAAGGAATGTAACAATGTACAGGATTGGTCACTTTACACCAATCACCTATCGTCTATCTAATTCTGTAGTACTACCAAGTTGAAGTTATAGCTCTCAATATTTGTGCGTTATTTTTCTTCTCTAATACAGATAAAATTGTGTTGAATATAAGAGGAAAATATAAAAAAGTGTCACAGTGATGTTGATAAAGGTT